TCCCCAAGAAATGCAGACATCACCTTAATGGCACCAAAGTAGCTGCTTTACAGAAACATATATATTTAAATAATGCTAAGCAGCTTCTTTCATTTCAGGGCCCCCTCTAGAAATCTGTATAATTTATCAAGCTGCTGTTTCTCCATACATAATTCAACTTCGGAAATGCACCTCAATACAATATATATCTGCAGTGTCTTGGCTAAGTTATTCACAATGTATAAACTGAAATGCTGGGTGTTTTCTCACTGAAGAAAGGCGTATTTATCTCTGAGGAATTGTCACCAAACTTCCAAAAACCAGAAAATGACTAATGACTAACATTGGTTTATTTAATTCACGCTGGTGTGCTCTTACGCTATTATTATTCTTGTGATTCAGGGGTGTTGCTTTCTATCCTGGGATTTGTTGATGTGCGTTTCTTTCACGTTGACTCCACGCCAACAGTTTCACTCACCCAAACTGTCCACTGAATTCAGTGAGAGCTTTCCCAGCCTCAGGCTGCAAGAGTCAGCCTCTGGCATTATTTAAATGAGGAGGGTTGAATCGTGTTGGTTTTTTAATATTACTGTACATTCAGAAATCCACAATACATTTCTCTGTTCAAATACTTATCAAAACAAATATAAAAAATCATATACACTGTACAGTCTATTTTTAAGTAAACATTTTTCTCATGAAAAACAGAATCACAATTGGCCTTCAGAGGTTACATTTTCATATGCTATAGGTCTACTTTGTTCTTAAAGTGTGTTGTTGCATATAATCTGTGAGAAATGCATTCACTTGAAAGTCTTATAAGTGTAAGTAAATATCAGCGAGGATTTAGCCATTTCATTACCGGAGAGCGAATAGGTTTCTCCTTAACAAATTCTTCTTTTACAGAATTGCCATCCCCTGATGCCATGTCATTCTCTGAAAATATACAAAAATAAAAGTGGATTTCATGAAAACAAGAGAATTAAAATATTGTCTTGCAGTAATGTCCCTGCTTTTGGGAACACTTCAGAAAAACCTTAGCTGACAATTCTTGCAGGAATCTGCCTGAATGCCTCCAATTATCTAGTTGCAAAATTTCTGCCAAATTATGGCATAAGCCAGATGTGCTTTCTAATAGTTTAAGCATAAGGCAGGTGATTTGAGTTCAGTTCCCGGTTCTCACTGTAACATTCCAGTGTGACATGGGACCAATCAGCACATCCTCAATAGCTACAGCAGTAAATTAGACATGCCTGGGGCTATTCTCTGACTGAAGCCAGCTGGCATGGAATAGCCTGGTCCATGCCACTAAAATCTCTTACTCTCCAAACAAAGGTAAAAGATATCCAGTTTGTCTACCAGAAATGGTCCTTGGCTGACGCTGATTCCTGAGCTGTGGCTGAGGTTGTTTGGCATGGCTAGCTAGGCTGGGACAAAGCATGCCGGCTGCTGCCCTACTGTTTGACCATGAAGGTGGTCAAATTGCAATACACAGGAACACACTCTGGCACTGTTAAATTTACTAGGGTATATGTAGCCATAATATCTTTATAAAATATACGGGACAGAAACTGGCCTGTTTAAAATACAGAAGCATTCACAGCTGTTTTAATTTGCTGAGGACCTGTCCTAGATGCTATAGCTACCTCTGAAGACCACTGTTAAATGAAACGCCGTGTGACCATCCCATGCAGTACTACCCACAGTGTCCCTGGTCTACTTCCAGTGACAGACCTCTGAGGACAGAAATCAGTGTGAAACTTTTGCATGGGTAAAAAATACGATTTGCTTCTATGGGGTCAGGATCTCATCCTGGCTGGGATCAGACAAGCTGCTAAACATTGAGGTTGCAGAAGATTTGAGACCAAAGGTGAGGGAGAAAAAGGAAAGGGGAGGAGGAACTGATGAAAACAGGCTACATGGGAAGATTTGGAATACAGGCTAGATACAGAAAAAAGCAAGACAGGAATATTTTTTTCATGTTATTTCAGCACCCTTGGTAATAAACAAAACCTGGAAAAGCAAAAGAGCACAATCGTACAAAAATATAAAAGGATCAGAACTGATCCATGTCACAAAGTTTTTTTCAAAGATTATTTTAAATGTGGTATAAGCATAAGCTGAAGAAGTTTGCTTCTGTCTAATTTTCTTTAAATTGGGGGAAAGATAATGCATGTATTAAGACAGCATATATTAAGCATAGATAGCTTAATATAGCAGGAGAAAATCCAAATAAGACACACAAACTGCAGCTGGAGGAGAAATAAAATTCAAAGACTTTTGAGTGAAATCCTAGAAAAGCTCCCAGTAGGTCTAGGATTAAATCTCTGATATTTAGTTAAAATCTTTACATTTGTATTGCTTTAGATTGGTGTTTAAATTTAAAGTGAACATTGTTCAGGCAAATATACCTCAGTATCATCAGGTGGAAAATAAAAGGGGAAGAAACTTTAATCACAGCTTTAAAAACTTCACTCATCTCTCCTTCCTGCCTCAAAACCACTCTAGTTTCTCACACGCCTTTTTCTTAATTCTGGAAAGATCTGTTACAGGCTTCAGACATAATCTTGAAAAGGTAAGAACTTGTTCCAGAGATACTGTGATAAATGACTACAATAAAACATTTCATAAAACAGTTCACCAACATCTGAAAATGTATAAAGTTCTGTTTTCATGGAAAAAAGATATTATTTTTACCATGTATTAGCTAACAGTAGTAAATGCGACGTAGTGAAATCCTGTTCTACACAAAGCAGCTACATGCATCACATCTGAACTGAGTAATGCAAATCCTAGCACAGCCTCCCATTGAACAGGTGACGTTATACTGCTAGCACATGCAACAGCTGCCAAGTATTTCACCCATGTTAGGATTTCAAAATGTTTTTACCATGTGTCACAGCTCACCTAATTCCTTGCCTTATGTTAAGGGAGCTGCCAATAAGAAAAATAAATGTACCTTGTGTTGTTAGCTCTTTGCACAGCTCCACCAAAGTACACATCACTCACACACAGAGTACACAGCGTGGTAGTAGATCACGTACAAGGTGATTTCTACTAAAATCAACTGCCCCATGAATTCTTACCTGTGTGTGAAACTATTTTTCGTCTATTTGGAGGCTTTGAAGCAGACAGTTGAAAAAATGGGAACTTCAGACACTTGCCGGTTACTCTGTCACAGATGCCAGACGGACAGTTGCAGGTTTTCCTGCATTCCATTCCATAGGTACCATAGGGACACTCTGAAAAAAAAGCAATATAGCAAAGCACTCCTCAGTGATCAAAGTCAGCTGACAGCACTCTTAATAGCTGGTCTGCTTATATTCTTAAAAGTGGAAAACCTTTGAGTGGAGGTCAGCTAAACCTTAACTACAGGATTTCAGCATGCCAACTGCTTGTTAAAAGTATTTTCTAGTTTTAACAAACGTTGACACACATTATATACATGATTTCTTTTCCTATAACTTATGTACAATGTGCTATCGGTAATCCTTCTCTGAAACACTCCTAGTATTAACATGCAAATTAAAGGCAATATGAATATGTAAGTATGTAATCATAGAGGATGTAGTTAAAGGATTAACATCGGATTTAGAGAAGACGATGACTTCAGAAAGTTCCTGAATTCACTATTTTGGCATGGTATTATCTGGGTTACATGACTGTCATGATTTAGAGCTGCTATCTGTTGCTGGCGCCGGGCTGCTTGTGGCCGGGGCCACTGCGTGTAGGCTTGGTGGAGGCTCCCGCCCCGACCCTGAGGAGCTATCCAGCAAACGCATCCTCGCCTGGAGACGCTCCCAGCTCTTGGGGAAGAGCCTTCCCCTGTGCGACAACTTCTCATACAGCAAAGGTCTGCCTTCCCATAGCAGACAGCAAAGAGCTCACCTACATCTCCAGCCTAAATAGGGAGTATGCTCTAAAGGGATCACTGGCATTAAGGTGGCTGCCAGGTTATACTGCATCTGGTCACTTACTGCCCCAATTCAAATCTCCCATCCCTGAGCGAGCTCATAGAGGAGCACCAAAGGGCAGCTGTCAGGATGGGACCAAATGTTTTCTAAAAAAATTGTCAGGTGCAGAGGATTTGCCCCATCCCATAGCTGCCACATATCACATGCTGGTTCACATAACTTCCCAGAGGGTTTAAACCTGGGTTCACAGCCCTTGTCTTCCTCTGCCTTGCTATTGAGCAGGGTACCTTTCCAGGACCATAGCTGAAGAGATGGAGACAAGGAAAATCCAGCTCCAACGTTCCCTTTCCAAACCCCCAAACAAGAGATCATCCCAAGTTTGGGATGTCCCAGGAGAAAGGTCTTTATGCTCAGGCTGTCTTTGCCAACCCAGGGTGCATGGTCACTTTAAATGGCAAGTCCTGAAGAGTTTCCTATTCAACTCCTAAGAGCAGATTAATGACTACGCAGGGCTGGACCAAGGATCCATCCAGCACAGGCTCCCACAAAACACTTACAAAGGAAGATGACCGTGGCAAGCACAAATGATACCTCCACCCTCATATTCTCTCCCATTTTCAGCTCTGGGACCTCCTGAGCCAGACATAGTTTCTGTGCGTATAACATTCCACAACAGGATTATCCTTCTCATTTTGTCCAGTCTCCTCTTGAATCAATGCAAATATTTAGTTTCACCATACAGCCTAGGCTATCTGAAAATCAGACTAATGCCCCAAAATGAAATTAATATTTTACAGTTCTCTGCATGCCCAATGGGTAAGCTTTTGTAAATTAAAAGCATGGGAAAATCAACCAATTCTCTGCTAGGGACTGCACAGCGAATCCCTCCAGCCTGGAGGACCTCACTGAGCTTCCCCATACTCCCCTTCCCAAGCAAGGACACTCTTTTGATCTGGTGTTTGTCCACATAAAACAAAATCCTGCCAAAGCAGAACAGTTTTTGTGTGCACAGTCCTCCCTGAGGGACAAGCTGAGAGCACACACCACATGGAGCATCAATCTGCCTGCTGCAGGTGCTCAGCTGCTCAGCCCAGAGAGCTGGGATACAAAGCTGTGCACAACAGCATGGAAAAAAGTCTGAGCCCAAAGCACTTGGCTCAGTGTGGAATAATCCTGGCATTGATGCTGCTCTTCAGATTTGACAAAACTGAGATCTGAGTCAATTTTGCTGTTAGAAGATTTTGTTCAGCA